TCCTCTAAGGACTCACCTTCACAGCCTCCTCTAAGGGCTCACCTCCAAATTCAGTGGCCATAGCAAAGATAAGTGTGACAGGCAAGGCTCTGACACGTCCCCAGCCCAGCCATGGTGACAACCACCAATGGTGTGTGTGCCCCTGAATGAGGCTTGCTATGAATTTATGCGTACATGTGTATCTAAATAGGAASCACCACTGGAAAAACCAGCATTTCTGGAGGTCTGTCTCTGATGGTTCATTAAGCACAGCCACCCATTCCCACGTTAATCATTCTGCACAACTTAAACAGGAGAAACCTTCCAGCACATCTGCTGTGCTAATGAGAATGTTCTAACGCCTTGAGCAAGCTCTCAGGAAGACCTCCCTCTTCTCTGTATCCATAACCACCCAAAGGTGTCCACCACATCCCAGAATAAGCAATAAACTCCAGAATGGGCCACCCTGTCCCCTCCCCAGCTGTGGCCAGTCCCACAAAACCCCTTCACGCCCTAATGTTCGCCCTGGTTTTCAAGGACTGATAACAGAGCTTCTCTCCTCAGATTTAATCGAAGGCCCTGCGGGGCTGTCGCTGCTGGACTCGCTCCAGAGCTGTGTGGAGTCTTTTTTCCTGGGTCTGCGTGTGAAGTGCCTTCCCTCCATCCCAGTCTCTTCCATCCACTGCTGCTTCCGCCACAGCCGTGACACGGACAGGGTGCAGCTCCATGCAGGTGAGGGAGGCCCTGGTAACAGAGCCTATAAAGGCACCAGCCTGGCACACGGGCACGAATTCTCCCTTAGGAAATGCCTGACACAGCCCTTCATTGCCTGAGCAGGGAGGGGATGAGGAAGGGAGTGAAAAGGGAGAAATCCTGTTCCCATGGAAAGCCCGGAGCTTTGAGGCGGGAAACAGGAATAAAAAACAAAGTGGCTTTCATCATATTTTCCTCTGCTGTTTGTATTTTTTAGTGCTGTTACGGTCAGGTCCAGCTCTGCAAAGAGATGGGATCAGCTCTGCGGGAAGGCTGTGTTGATTTGGGGCAGTCTGAGCTCTCCCATCCCTTGACCAGAGCCAAAGTAAATTATTGGCCTGGGTGGTGCAGGAGRGGAACTCATTGGCCTTTCATGATAGCAAATTTGGGTTCAAGTGTCACACAGCTCTCTAGGGAAACAGGTTTGCCAGCTGCCAAACCCACGCTGCACAAACATCCACCTGGGACGAGCTGTTTGCAGGTACCACGGGCAGCACATGCTCAGCACAGACCCAGCACTGCAGCCCWGGGGCTGTTTCAGCTCAATTCTGAAATGCCTGTAGGGGAATTCTGCTCCCAGGTGCTCATTTCCATGGGTTAGTGCTGAATTCATCTACATCTCTGCTTGTTTTTTTACCCTGTGCTCAAAGTCAAGTCTCCTCTGATTTGAGGGATGGGTTACACAGCCATGGTTCTCACCTGAATGATGAAYCCAGCAGCTCTGCCCTGCCCATGGCTTGGATTACATCCTCCTCCCCATGAGCAGCAGGAATTCTGACTCTTTGTAGCTTCCAGGGGTGCTTCATTTAAACGAGTGTCTCTTTTGTATTTGTCCAGATGGGATCCTGAATTTCCTGAAGAACAACAAGCCCATGGATGCCCTGTGCGTCCTTGGACTCACTTTGCTGGACCTTTACCCATGTGAGACCTGGAGCTTCACATTCAGCAAATTCCTGCCAGGACAAGGTAGGATTGGTGTCCCATGATGATCTAGCACAGTGTGGGATAAGGCAGCTCTCTAGCAAGAGACTGGAATAGCCAAATCTTACCCTTAACATGTTATTCCCTGGTAAGAGGAACTAGGCTTTCCCAATTTAAAATCAGGGGGATCAGGGCTCCTGATCCAGACAGAGGTAACTGAGGTGACACAAACCTTTTGGGAAGTGGGTCTCATCACACCCTGTGAGCTCAGCTGGACTTTGTTCCCACAGCTGCATTTTCATGCTGCTGAAGGTGAGAGACAAGAGGTAAGAGAGCAGATGCCTGACTTGTCCTCCCCTCTCTCCACAGAAGTGGGAGTCTGCAGTTTTGCCAGGTTTTCGGGGGATTTCCCCCAGGCTGGCTGCAGCAGCYTGAACCCCCCCACGCAGAAGGAAGAGCTGAGTGAAGCCAGCAAGGAGGGCAGAGACAGAACCTTGCAGTTCAGCGCCCAGGAGATGGTCCAGTGCTGTAAGGTAGGACCAGCAACCTCCTGCACCCCTGTTCCTTCCTTTTGGGGTTAAATATTTCAGGCCAGGGCATAATCCATGTCCTGAGACTCTGCTCCACACACTGAATTCAGACACAGTGAGCTTGTGTTTTAGTGCTCTGCACAGACAGCTCCTGCTCCCCTCACCACAGGAGCAAATGGCATCATCAGTTATGGGGAGGATACATGACTTGCCTCATCATARAATCACAGAATGGTTTGGGTTGGAAGGAACTTTTAAAGCTCTTCTTGTTACAAGCCCCYACCATGGGCAGAGACACCTTGCACTAAACCTCAGCCTCCTTTGCACACATGTTTGTAATGTAAATGCCCTCAAAACCCCTTCACCTCCAACACATCCTCTTCATGAGGGCTGTACTGCCTCATCCTAACATCTGCCATATTCCAGCTCTGCTTGCAGTGCTTTTCCCAGAGCAGCCACACCAGCACCTTCTGTGCCATTTCCCWTTGCTCCCCTGGTATTTGCTCAGGATTTTTTAGTTTGAGGTCTCTYCCTGTAATAATTTCAAATGATATTAAGTGGCAATGGGAGGAGGAGAGGGATCCTCAGCCTTCCCACAGTTGCCAATTCCCAAGGCAGTCATGCTTGGCCRGCTGACTCCAGCTCATGGTTTTTTGCTTTGGCACAAATGCTGATGGAGTCTGTTCTGGAAGGACCCAGATCTGTTATTGCCAACAGCTTCTTACACATTTCACACACAGGCTGTGTTGCTCTTTTCAGGCCCCAGTGGGGCTGGTTTGCCTCCTTAAAAAAAAACCCCCAAAATGACAAAAACCTCCAAACACCACGCTGTCCCATAGCTCCAAACCTGCTGCCTACAGGGCTTCCCACAGCTGCCTCACCAAACCTTCCTCCTTCATCCTCCACAATGCAAAGATGGARCTGGGAAGAGGCAGCCAGGTTCTCCTKTYCCMTTGGAAAAGCCGAGGCTGGAGCAGWGCCATTGCTGAGCAGGAGCTTGGTTGGACTGTCAGGGAGCTGGGAAAGTGGAACAGCAGAGGAGGAAGAGGASGRGGCAGCAGAAACAGGARTGACCACACGCTGTTGTRACTTYTGCTTCCCTTTAAGGTGACCTGCCACGAGATCTGCCACCTGATGGGGCTGGGGACGTGCCGCTGGCTGCAGTGCATCATGCAGGG